TTTGAGAACATTGGTTTTAGACTGGTTGTCCTGATTCAGAGGAGCTAGATTTTAATTTAATTTTTATTTTAAATAAAATATAAATTAACATTTTAACTCTTAATTGTTAAAAATCAATGCTTGTTTTTTATATTTATGGAGGTTCTATTCCTGAAGAGGTAGGGGAATTTAAAAAGGAAAAACCTGGGTACTCAAGAGGATAAAGGTGGTGGTGGTGGTGGGTTGCTCCCCTGCCACCTGTTTCCACTTTGTTCTTAAAATGATTGGCGTTTTTACAAAGAGGGAGGTGCGCTTTGTGGCTTTTCCTTTTTCAAACGATTTTTAAAGTTTCAGAAAAGAAACAAAATTGTTCCTTCTCCTGTAAAAAAAAAATGAGTACCTGTCAGCATCACCTCCTGCTCTTGCCTGTTTCCAGATGTGCCAGCTGCTTTTTTACAAGCTTGTAAAAAACAGTAACAGCGGATACACTGAGACAGCATCATTTAACCCCCTCCCTGCCTCCCTCCCTCCTCCTCAGGTCAACGTCACTCCTCTTTCCCTTTAATTCAGCTTTCATCCTTCATTCCTTCACTCATCGCCCCTCCTGTAACCTCCTCCTCCTCATGTTTACTCCAGTTCAAACTCTTCCTTTTTACATCAGGAGACTGATGTTTTTTTTTCCCTACTAACCCCCGAGTCTCTGGATCTTTTTAAACCAGTCATCTCCTCCTCTTCCTCTGTAAGGGATTAACACCTTTCCCCCGGAGAGATGAAAGAAACCAGGAGCAAAGCTGAATCTGCTGTTTCCTCAGCCTGTATGGGGGTCAAACGGTGCGCCAAACGATGTTGCACAAAAAGCCGCACACACAAGTGCGCACACAGCTCTTTGAGAACACACCAGGAGGTTTGATGTTATAGCCGTCGCTATAAAATCTACAAAGAGCTGCCAGTGCAGTGCTTCAGGCAGAGCCAATTACTCCTGCTCTATTTTATAAATGATATGAGCCTCTAAGTGTTTGAGGTTTAATGCCATTACTGTTGCATTAAAAGCAAACTAAAACATCTGAGTAGATGGGAGCGAGTAAAGTTCACTTTAGTAACTTTTTGGTTTTATGCATTGTTTTGTTGTTTTCTGTGTTTACAGCATTCCTGTCTGCTGGACCAATCGCCAAAAAATCCAAAGGAGATGGTGAATATCTTTTTCTTTTTAATGAGTTTTATACCTGGATGAGGTTGACATCTGGTATAGGCAATATAGGCAAATGCTCAGCTGCTTTGTTACATGTAAAGGATGTTTTGTGATAAAAGTATAAAAGTTATAAGAATAAAAGTATCATACGATGCAGGCAAGATTAACTACTGGTGCTCGGTCTGTAAATAGAAAACACAATAAGGATAATGAAAGTTTCAGTTTTGATGTATAAAATTCAGGTTCAAGTCTGGTTTTGAGCTTTTTCTACCTTCAAATAATATTGATTTTATGTTGTTTTATTAATTCCAAGAATCTAATAAAATGCTCTAAATGGTTGGAAAATGCAATGTTTTGAGTAGATATTTTACAAAATTTTCTGGGGGACTATATCTCTGGAACCCCCTAGAGCTGCTTCACTACACAGGTGTTCATTAACATGAACAGGTGTACCTCATTGCTGTCAGCAGATGTTTGCAGGTATGAGGTTAATATTTAGTATTCAGTTTCATATGAAGTGTATTTTTAGCTATTTTATTTGGACAATCTAGTTTCTGAAGATAAAAATAATACCAAAGATATTAATCTGGTATGAGTGTGTGTAAATTGGCAGTGAGGTTTAGAAAACTGCCCAAAGGATGCCACATTGTCTTGGACCAGTCCTGCCTAGACCTGACATAAATGACCTTTAAATGAAAACAGCTTTGTCCTTGAGTATGTTGTTAGCTACTTTGAGAAAAACTTTGAATGAGACTTTTAAGTATGTGAGGCAGTCTTTAGTTGTTTCTTGTTTCCTTCCTGTCCTCAGCGGGGGAGAGTATCCAGGAGAAGGCAGCAGCTGCCGCGGAGCACAGGAGGCTGATCCGGAACCGCAGGAACATTAGCTGGTACAAACAGCATTCTGACTTCTGGGCCTGGTACAAGTACTTTACTGACAACAGCAACCAAGAGGCAGTGAGTAAACACAAACACAGAAACAACATTATCAGAAAGAACCACATCCATGATGTCTAAATGTTGAAATACATGTCACCAAAACACAAGTATCACTGCATAAATGTTCGTAGGAGATCTACATGGTAATTAGCATTTTAGCTTCATTTGGAAAACAATGTAAAGGTTATTTTATTGAGTGTAATTCTATGTGAAGTTGTAAGTAAGTAATAACAGTAAAGGAGTAATGGCAGCTTTTTGTTTTCTTAAGTTTCAACCAAAGTAACTGTCTGAGGGAAAATTAAGGTTGTGGAAAAAATCAATATAAAGGTGTTTCCTTGAATCCTTAACAAGCTTTGTTTCCAACTTTGTTTCACAAAAAAACATTGCTGATAACAAACTACAGCTCAGCTCCCAATCAATAACTATTGATTATTTAAAAGACAGTGATGTAAGAGTGTATAAATCAGAATTTGCGCACCCTTCTATGAAATCTTTGTGATTGGAGTTGTTTTACGACAGTACTCAGAAATGGTCCCACTCAGACTACCCTTTAGCTTCGTTCCTTCAAACAAACCTCTCTTTGACTCTCCAAACTGTTTTTGTYCTAATCTGTTTCTGCTAAGACACTTACTGCTGATAACAATGCCACAGAATCCCATTTCAGAAATTTTAAACTATTCCRTTACAGGTGCGATTAAAGTAAAGATGTTAAAGCAACAATGGAATATGTACAAAAAATCCTTTTTTGTTAAAGCAAGATGGTAAATTTTGTGGTAATTATTTAGTCTCACATTTTAAATTTCATATAGCTACAGTCTGATAAAGTTACCAAGCAGAGAAGTTTTTTTTTTAGCTTTTTGCAATGATACCCCCCCCCCCCCCCACACACACACACACAGTTATTTTGGTGTGAGTGAATTCAAATACACTCAAAATATTTTCTTTCATGAAGATTTTGAACAGACCACTATATATTCATTGCTACCAGTATCAGTTCACCAYTGGGCCCCTTTTGCCTCCCCAGGTGCAGGAAATGGATCGCATCTACCTGGCTTATCTCCAGAACAAGAACCGTGCCGAGGCGCGCAACTCCTACAAGGCCTATCTTCGGCACCTGGGGGATATTTACAAGTCCTGTTCCGACTCTGAGGACCCTAACTGTGTGGCTTCGTATACCTCAAGGCCCAAACCTAAGGCAGAGCCCCCCAAACCAGCACCAATGAAAACCTGTGACCCCACGAAGGACCCTCAATGCCTGTATATGGCTTTGGTCCAGGGTAAGAGCCCCTACCTGCCTCTGGTGCTTCAAACTGCCCCTGCAGCACCAGTCAAGGCCCCTGCTCCTTTGTTTGCTCGGGCTGCTGCTGCTCAAAGTAAAGATCCGATGTCTGGATATCACTACTATGCCCCATCTGCAGTGTCTGCCCTTACCAAGGTACTGTGTTTACAATAATGTGTTGACTATAATAGTTTGTGCACTGTGTGAATAAAAAGCAATAGTTGAACCAGTTGAGCAGTTAGTTTATGGGTATCTTTGGATCAAACTTTCCAAATTTTATTAAAAACGTTAAACTATCTTCCCAACGTTTAAACACCTACAATGTTTTTGAATAATAAGGTCATAGCTGCTCCATTCTAATAAAAAACTCAAGAAATAATCAGTTTCATTGTTTTTTCAGGAGCAGAAGGCTGAACTGCTTCGTATCTGCTCTGCTGATGATGTGGAGTGTTTACAGTATCATCTCAGAGCTGCCTATGGCTATCAAACCTCTGCTGGTCCTGCCCCTTCTTATGCCCACCTGGGCTGTGACCCCAAGAAAGACCCCACTTGCAAACACAAACAAGCACAAAAGGCCCCTTCTGGTCTCTATCGACAGTACCCCACTTGTGATCCATACCGGGATCCCTACTGCACCTATGCTTCCTCCCTTGCGGTATTTATTAGAATAATTTTTTTTTATCTGCTGCCACTTTGTTCCCCGTTTTGCTCTTATTATCGCTACTTACTGTGATCTGTCCCTCCAGGCTCCCCGTTCTGGTCCCGGACCGTGCAACCCTCTCTATGACGACAACTGCAACCCTCTGACCGCCACCAGATTCGCCTCACCCCCAGAGGAGTACCGAAATGACGATCGAGATGAGGCGGCTGCTATCCGCGCAGCTCCTCCTGCTGCTGAGCAGAACGACCCCTATGCCATGTTTAGGGATGCCTATGCTAATGCTAACCGAGTCCATGATCCCTATGCTATGTACCGTCAGCCTCCAGCCCCAGCGTCTCCTCTTTCTACTGATCCGTACAACATCCTGCGTCAGTTCATGTCCCAAGCTCAGGATAGTGACCCGTTTGCTCCACGCACGGCTGCTCCCGAGTCCAACGCTAACGATCCTTTCTCCGCTGCTCGTGACACCATGAGTCGTCACAGCCCTCCCACATCCAGGCAGCAGTACCCATTTTCCAGTCCAAGCTACGAAGAGCCACCTCAGGAGGAGCGACACCCTCTGGGCCCTCCGGGTAAAACCAAAGAGGGTTATGACTGCTTCATCGGTTACGACCGTGAATGCTACCCCTTGAAGCCTAGTCAACCTCGCTCTGGAGCTCATCGCCGCATCCCCTATGCCGCAGAGGCCTACGAGCCCCACCTGAATGCTGATGGTACCCGCAACGGTGTCTTGGAGCCTTCTAACCCTGACTGTGACCCCGAGTATGACCCTGACTGCCGCCTGCGTCGCCACGAGTCACAACCAGCCCAGCCAGAGATCCAGCCCGAACATCACGCTGAGGACGACTACAACCAGGGTGCAGGAGAAGGCGAACAGCTGGAACAGGAGCCCTACCAGAGTGGCCAGGAAGAGCCTCACACGTCTTACCAGTCTCACTCGCCGAGGATGCCCAGCCTCCAGGACATCCTCAGACTTTACGGAGACCGCTACCCCGGGCAGGTTGATCACAGAGCTTACGCAGGCGACTACCGCAAAAAGTAATCATGCACATGCACGCAGTTGGACACAAAAACACAGTCCCAAGCATTTTTGTAGCCCAGTCTGGGAATAACTTTATGCAGCAAGCATCCAGGTCTGACTGGTCAGGAAATGGGACACAGGTGAAGTCTATGGGCCTGAAGGGCAAGAACATGCACATACGTCCACATATATCCTCCTGCTGAAGGAGCATGCTCATAAATCTTGCAAAAAAATGTTTGGCTTTCTATGACTTTAGATGCTTCAGACCTGCTTTGTGCATTGCTCTTCATCCTTTTCCTAGCACTCAAATTTTGTTATGAATTCTTATTTTCTAATTTTGCTTCTATATCTTTACTTTTCACTTTATTTTTTCTTTGGTTGTTGCTTTTCACACTAATGGATTATGGAAATATTTGTTTCCACATTGAATGTTCTACTAATTATAATAAAAAAACAACCCTGAATCCCTTTGTGTGGACATTTTTTTGGTATAACTCAAATTTTGTTGACACTGGTCACTCAAATATAATGTTACAGGTTTGAAGCACAAAACATTTTTCTTCCACATTCATAGGAGAAACAATATCACTGTTTTAATGAGCCTAAAGGGTGGGGGCGCTGTGTACTTTTGAAGCACATCTACCACAATCTAGTAATCTTGTTACCTTCAGTTGTTCTGAAAATGCAAATATCTCAAAAATAAATTTGACATTGAGTAGCCTTTAAGGCTCTTTAAAAACCTGCTACAGTTTTCGACACTCCTATTTCAGCACATCATCACAAAAATGATTTATGCCATTTACATCCTTTAGTAGGTGCGTTGCAAGAGGGTAGTCTCCGTGGCATCCAAAAATGTGTTTCCTCCATGAAGGCACTTTTTAATCTGAAAAGGACTGGATTTAGAAGTACTTTGTATTACAAGCTCASCTGACGTGCAGTTCTACCAGGTCTGGAGCTGTGTGGGGTGAGGCATGCAGGGGTGCTCTGCGTTGCTTCGTACCAGCAAGTGTTTCAGCAGCTCCACAAGGCTACCACAGGAGATTCAAGGATTTCGCAACCATGCATGAACGAGTCAAAGCAACACTCTGGGTATGTTTTTGACGAGGGAATAACATTATAACACGGTGTAAAGCTCAAAAAAGTCAATTTCGCAATATTCCCTGCTTTTAGAATAATTTCTCAATTGTGGAAAACAAATGAGAATTTGTGATATTTTACTAAGGAAGTGTCAAAGATCAGGTATGGAACGTGATGATGAGCAGCATCCTCTGGACACTTTCAAATGAAAATGTATTTMCTCCTCCTCTAGACTCAAACATGTAAGACAAAACCTATTAGACTTAAACACTCATAAAAAAAAGCAATCACTTYAAGCCATGCTTGATCTGTTTCTATTGAACTTCTTTGGAAAAATGCAAGGATAATGAGAGTGATATGTGATAATTTCTCCAAGATACTAAAAACACAAATATAATATTTTCCCCCTTCAGTTCTAGTCTAATGAAAGTGCTGTTTAGTACACCTCATAGGACACATTACCTCAAGAACCACCTTTTTTTTGACATGTTAAAGTAAACCTTATGATAACTTCTCTGTGACTTTTCCAATCTGGTCACTATTAACTGCTCGTTCTTATCTCGTGTCAAGGTTTTCTGAAACAATCTTTGTCTTTGTTTTGTCTTTCAGTTTTCAGAAAGATCTGAAAGCGGTCATCCCTCATCTAACTTCTCCTTGAATCTCATGGGGTGGAGGGTCACAGCGAGCAAAGCTTGACCTCTTGTCGTTGTTYCACAGTTAGACACAGAAGTCTTTAACATCACCATACACTGCTCCAGGGGAAGGCATAATGAGCTGAATTCTGTTATTTAGTTTGGAGACAGAGTGTGTGAAAAAGCCAAGTAACCAAGACTGTGACTGATGAACATGTGGGTATTTTGTGCTAAATTAGAGCCGAAGTGCATGAATCATAAAGAAAATTTGTCACAGTGACCATCGCATCAAACAAATACACAGAGCTTAAAATATTTCCTCATGTGTTACTTTTGCGTAGCTGCAAAAAGCCATTAAAAATTGATTTTTTTTTTTTTTTTGCTGTGTAGACAGTAAACTCTCTGCTCGAACTAAATCTGGTCATTTATATTTCAGCAAAATTTAGTTGATGTCCTTTCCAAACTGTGCTTTTATCTTTAGCCCYCAGGACAACACCTAATGCAAAGGAGTGACCATAAATCTGCCCTGACAAATTTCCACTGGAAGTAAAGCTTGTGACTGCACAGTATTGATTTGTCTTCTCTCTGCTCTCAGAGCCTGTAATTGTTTTATCAGATGCCTTTTTTTTTATAGAAGATTGTGTCTTGAGATGAAGTTTGATGATACAGTATCTACATGAGTACAGTTTGCCTTAAAAKTCTAAGGATGTGAGGTCATCGTTACAACTCAAACCTCAATGAAACCTCCACTACACCATAATATCGTCATTTGTATCATATTTGCTACGCTGGATTCCATGACCTATATTTTATAGGGGTGTAAGAAAATATCGATACACTGAAATATCCCGATATTTCATTTCCCGATACTGTATCGATATTCTAAAGCCCTGCATTGATTTTTTTAT